GGTGGAGGACATTTCCACCTGGGCGGAGAGTTCTGTGGCAGTGCTGGCTGTGTGTGGGGTGGGAGGTGAGGCCTGAGGTCCCCAGGGAGTGGAGCTGGTCTGGATGGACCCTCAGTTAGTGGTCCTTAGTGCTGGTGACTCATTAGTTCTCACCTGGACTGGTGAAGCTACTCCTTTGTACTTTTTCTGTCCTCAGCCTCTGGCTTAGTAGTGCTTCCATCACTTGTGACCAGAATGCCCTGTAGACACAAGGTGCTGCCATCCTGTAGGTACAGGGTGCTGCCATGTGCTTGCCCCAAACAGAAGCAGAAGGCTTCCCAGCACCCGGGCCAGGCCCTAACGCTCACAGGCAGATGAGACCCTGCGTGATCAGCTGGTTTTTCAGAGACAGCCTCACATTCTGCCAATCCTCTCCTGAGCCCACTCCTGCTTCTCTGCCTGATGACCCAGGACGCTGGAGCCTGCCAGGCCCTTTCACACCTCTCTGCCTTTGCCCGTGTTGCGCCTTCTGCCAAGCTGCCTCCTCCTTTCTCCATCCAGCTCCATCATCCTTGCGCAATGAAGCCTTTGCAGCTTCTCCTGAGGCAGTTGGTCAGATTGAGGCAGTGATTAGATTTCTCCCTTAATGCTTGAATGACCACAGGACCCTTACTTTCTCCTTTCCCTATAAGGCCAGGAGCCTCCTGAGTACCCTTGGTCATTGTCCTCTCTGGTCTCCAGGGCTGTGTTTGGAGCAGGTGTCCGCTAAGTGCAGTGTTCTGAATCTTTGCGCAGAGAGAGGGCTTGGAGGGAAGGGAGGTCCTGGGGCCCTGGAGGGCAGGATTGGGTGGGGCAGTATACTTCCAGGTGTGGCCCCAGGCAGGGTTGCCATTGCTGGGAATGGCTGGGGGAGGACCCTGGATGTGGTGAACTTAATAGATGCTGCTACTGGATGACTTGGGAGGGCTTGGGCACATTCCCAAGGTGCAGACCCCAGTACCTAGTGGTCGATCAATGGGATATGGAGAAAATGGGCTTGGGGGGCATTGCTGAGATTTGAGAGTTTGGGGACAAAAGCTGAGAGAAAGATTGGGATAGGGGTAGCAGAAAGGGATGTTGTTGCGGGTATCTGATGGGCAAGATTGTACCGGGGTGGGGGTGACAGCTGGGAACTGGGGACAGTTGGGGACCGGGAGATAGCTGATGATAGACATAAATCTGGGGAATGGGGCAGCTGGCAGTGAGGGGGCAGGTGGTGTTGGGAGAACAACTGAGAGTGGGGGGCAGTTGGGGGGTAAGAGAGGACAGCTGGGAGGGGTCAGAAGCTTATCTGGATAGGCTAGGTGGATCTTAGCTGAGATGGGAAGGATGTTGCTCAGAATGCGCTTGTATATCCTTGTGATTTGTTAGTGTGTGTTTGTGGATCCTTGTGGTTGTGTGTGTATCCCTGTGGTAGTATATGTAAGTAAGTATGCTTGTTCCTAGAGTGTGCTGATCCACAGCATTGCCTCCTGCACCAAAACATGTGGATTCTAATCCTGGGTCCACCACTCCTAGCTATGTGACACTTGGTCAGGTGCTGACCTCTCTGGGCCTTATGGTGTTCGCATAGTGAGGATGATAACAGAACACACTTTATGGGCTGTTGTGAGCCACGTGTTTATATGTATCTAGTCTAGAGCAGGTCCTAGCATCATAAGCATCATGTTAAGTGTTACTGTTATGGAGTGTGTGTATGATTATGTATAGACCTCCTGTGTGTTCAGGAAAGTTTGTTCTTGGCTTCTGAGGAAGTCCAGGCCTGGGAGGAGGTGACAGTGGTGGGGAGGTAGGGGAAAGTGTGACTCGCCAGTTTGGTTGGGTCTGGCTCTCCTTGTATATCTCCTTCCTGTTCATCTCACTTCCTGTGCCAGGGTCTAATCCAGGAGGTCTCCCTCTCTGTCTCCCTGTCCTGCCCCACACTGCCCTGCACTGGGCTGGGAGCCAGGGGATGAGCTTTAATTGTCCAAAAGATTTTCAGCAGAATCCCAATTCATTGTTTGCCTGCCAACATGCTGGGGCCCTGCTCAGATATAAATACCTGGACAATGTGTTCAGTTCTGGACTGCCTGCCCCATGGGTGACAGTGGCTTCATCCTGTGCCCTTGGAAAGTCACTGGGGTGGAAGAGGTTGGTAGGTGGGGGTCAAGGTGGGAAGGAAGCCCACAGGACATGTGAGGCCTGGGCTCCCAACCTAGGGGGTGAGCCAGCAGCTCCATATACACAGAGTTTTCCAGGAGTCTGGACTCCTTTTGCTGCCAACTTATCCCAGGGAGACATCAGCCCTTCCCGTAGCACTTTGCAGTATGCCACGTCATTGCTTTACACTACGAAACTGCACTGCATCACAGCTACGGCCTGCTGGGGTGTGTGCGATCTCGGATTCTGGGACCCAGAATCCCTGTAGTGCGTTGCGTCTCAGTCCTGGACCGCCTGACTGCAGTGGATTCTGTGCTGCATTGGGTGGGTGGGGAGGTTTCTCCTGAGTTCCTGTATGTTCCACCTCCACATTGTCCCATTGTGCTGGGCTTCCATCTTGCAGCTGTCCTGCTACTTGTCTCTTTGCAGCTCTCTTCTGTGCTGTAGAAGTCAGGGTTGCATTAGGAGGTGGATTCTCCTGTTTCTGCACCCCCTGCCCCCACCCCGTGGTGCTACAGCCACACTGCATATTTGCACAGTAGGCCAGTCCTGTTCCACATTGCAGTGCCCTGCTGGGCAGCCCATATTGCATTGGGCATGTGGACTCCCCTGGCCTTGGACCATAGCACCTTGCATTGCGTAACCACACTCCGATAGATGGCATGCTACTGCCCCTGCAGCTCTGTCCTCATGCGTTTCTGCAGTGTGCATTTGCTCTACACTGGGCACATAGTTCCTGTTTCTAGGGGCAGCTCATCTGCCCTGCACTGTTGCATCTTATGAGACCAGTGTACCTTTGCCTCATTCAGCATTTCTGTCCCATGGCTTCACTGCACTGCAACTGGATGGGCGCCTTCTGGCCTAGCCCTTACATTGCTCTACAGCTGCTATAACACTGCCCCCTGTGGTGTCTCAGCCTTTTGCTGTTTATATTACCACCAGGGGTGGGTTGCTGTCCTTTGCAGGTTTCTGTTGGCAGCCCCAGGTGGGCAGCATCTAAGTCCTCACTGCAGTGCACCCCTACCCCACCTCAGGGAGTCTGTACCTGCACTGTAGCTTGGGGCTACTTTGTTGGGCTTCAGGACTGGGCTGGGTTTTTGTGGGTAGCACCACAGCACAGTATGAAGCGTTGCATCTGTGCACTGCACGGGATTACTCTGAGCACCTCTGCCTTTGCATTCTGTCTGCTTGCTGTAGGGATGGATGCACTGTACTGAATTTGCAGGCCCAGAGCTCTGAACGGAACCCAGTGTTCTACCTGTCATCTTCACTGCACGTCATGTTTTTTGAAATTAGTGACTATTTGTTACGTAAGTTAATTTGTTTCATTTTGGCTGTTTCATATATGCATGTAACATACTTTGATTACTTCTACCCTCATTACTTTTTTCCCCTTCCCTTCCCTGCCCCCTTGTTCCTTTCCTTTTCTTCATTATTTTATTTTATTTTATTTTATTTTTTGTCTTTTTGAGACAGGGTCTCGCCCTGTAGTACAGGTTGGTCTTGAACTCACTTTGTAGCCCAGGCGGGCCTTGAACACTCAGCAATCCTCCTGCCTCAGCCTCCCGAGTGCTGGGATTACAGGTGTGCACCACAACGCCGGCCCTTCCTCTTCTTTAATAATAGTCTTCCTTCTACTTTCATGTTCATTCTCTCCGCACCTTCCCATCCCTCCTTCCCTCCCTCTCTCAGATCCTACAGATGAAAGAAAATGTGCCGCTGGTCTTTCTGAGTCTGATTTACTCACTTCACATGATGATCTCCAATTCCATCCATTTTCCTGCAAATGACATGATGTCATTCTTCTTTTATGGCTAGAAGACACTTCATTGCACTTCATTTTTGTGCCACTTCCTACCTGTCCCTTGTCTCTGTACCTACTGTGCTCCTCAAGACTGTACTGAGAAAAAAAAAAACTGTACTGAGCTTCTGTCCAGAACCGGATTGCTAACATCTAGGAGCTGATTCTATATGGCACTGCATCCTTCCCTTCCTTATAACTGTGCTGTTCTGCCTGCCTGCGCTGCACATACCTGGGTGCACGGAGCTCCTGCTCTGTGCAGGCCCTGTGGTAGCGTCTGGAGAGGGAGAAGGACTAGTAAGGCTTACTCACCACCCAGTGTTCCTCTGCACATCCATCATGCAGCAAGGGTTTCCACTGTGAATGTGGCACTTCTGTGCTTCATCAGGACCGACCGGCTCCTCCATACTGTACAGGTGTCTATACTGGGCGCTGTGCACATGGTGTGCTTTGGCCTCTTGCAACGTACAACTGGATTCTGTCTATACAGTGGGAAGCTGCTGCACTACCCGCTCAGCACACCACTTTGTGGTAGTGTACAACCTTCTCTTCATGGAACCTTTATGAAGTGCAGACTTTCCCACTGCATGGGTTTGTGCATATCCTATGCCCCTCTACCCACAACTGTGCCCTACAGCAGATCTGCTTACTCTCTGCCCTCTGTTCCTCCACACAGCAAGGCCCTCCACTGGGTTCTTCACCTCTGTATGGCGTCTACTCCCAGCCTGTGCTTTCCCCTTACTGCCCTGCAGCTAACACTGGGATTTGAGGTATATCCTAGACCAGGACGTGGGGAGGGGTCTGGTGTGAGCCCTCTTGTTGCAGTTGGCTTCCTTCCGTCCTTGATGGAGACGGTAAGATGTTGGCATCGTCAGGCTCTGTGTTGGCTCCTGTGGGTGGTGCCAGCTCAGCTTTCTCTGCCTGTGGCCTGGCCTGGGCGATCTCCCTGCTTGCAGTTGTGGGTGGTTAGAAGGTGATCTTGTTGCCAGCCTTCCTGTAACTAGCTGCTCATCAGTTAGTTGGGGCTCTGGTTGGCAGCTTTGGGGGCTCTGGCCTCAGTCTGGATGTGCTAACCTAGACAAGGGAAGTGGTGAGGTGGGCTCCAGGCACCTCAGCTTGTCATGGTCTTTGAGCGGGGTGCAGCTGGTCAAGGGCACACTACCTGGGCTCATGGAGTCCATAAGTCTGGTGCTGTTGGTTATCTACTGAATACAGGGCTTGGGGATGGGGTTCCAAGGCATGAGAGACAATTCCTGACTTCTGGAAGGGAGGAGCTAGGGGTTACACAGGCTGACGATGGAGCTGCACTTGGGCCGGGGAGCCCAGGAGAGCATTGGGCTGCCTAGAATAGGGAAGGTGAAATAGGCCAGCATTGTCACCCGGATTGTGTCTGGGTTCCCCAGGTCAGGATTGAGTCTGTGCATAGGGTTAGGTGTGATCCCACCTCTGGCTTTTGCAATCTGTTGGGAGAAGTTTTGTTTCTCCTGGGCCTGCCCTTGGGAATTGGATGTTCTGTTGACCAACCAAGGGGAATGAGAATCTCACTGCAAACAGGGTCGGTTTACCCAGAGACTTCAGACAACACTGATGGTGGCTGCAGGTTCAGTGAGCCCAGGATGCCATTCTGGAGTGAAGAAGATCTAGCGCACAGAGCTTGTAGTGCTCACACGCATGGATACATGCGTGCACATGCAAAACCTCCCTCCCCTGCACATGCGTACCGCTGACTATGGTCAAACACTTCTGCTCCGAGCTGTAATCCACACACCCAAATCTCACAGCACCTGCCTTGCCTCATACACTTCTTCCCCGAGTGGGCCTCTCCCTGCCTCAGTTATTCTTGTTCACATATATGGTGTATACGTATATCGTGATTGGAATCAAGACAGCCCCATTCTTATTTCATAGGTGAAGAAGCAGGGGTTCAGAGAGGGCACGTCACCTACCTGAGGTCACAGAGGGGTTTAGGAGAGCCGCAAGAATAAGATCCAGGTCTCCTGCCTCCTGATGTGTCATGTTACTCTCACAGGTGTGTGCACACATGCAGTCACATCCATATATGGAACATGTACGTGGAGGTATGAAGACCCTCCCACCAGAACACCCCTCTCACCCTCCTTCAGTTTGCTGTGCCCCTGACATCACACTGTCCAGAGCCAGCCAGCCGGATGTGGATAAGCCATCCCCTGCCTTCCCAAATTGTGGCTGACAGTTGCTGAGGCAACCGCCAGCCAGATTGGGGAGATTAGCTGAAGAATGTAGCTGGGCCAGTTTGAACTGGGGCTGGGGGAGCTGGTGGGGTCTTGGGTTGACTCAGCCTACTCTTTTGGGGAGTCCTCCTCCATGATGGGGTGTCTAAGGAAGGCCCGGTCTTCTCCCTATTCACAGGCTGACTTAGACATACCCTCAGGACTTGGATTGGCTGGGGAAATAAAGTGTGTGTGTGTGTGTGTGTGAGCGTCTGAGTGTGCTGTTGTGTGTGTGTGATATGCACCTCTCTGAGTGTGATTGGGGTGTGTGCTGTTGCACCCAGGATGGGGATTTGAGGCCTCTGTCCTCACCAGTTCAGAGTCTGACTCTCACCCCTTGGTGGCTTGGTTCTGAGCTCCTCCCTGATCCTGTGAGGCACCACCTGTCCTACTCAGGGCTTATAGGCTGTATCACTCATTTCATCAGAAACCAGGCACTTTTCTGCACTTCAGGCCAAACTCCTTACCCTGCATTTGAGGCCCTTCATGATCAGACTCAGCCTAATCTCATCTCCCATTGCCTCAGCTGGTCTGGGCTCCTCTCTGTGCTGGGGGTGAACTGTGTTTACCCATTGTCTTCCTTTACCCCTGCCACCCTTGTCCCTGCCTGCCTGTCCTCCCACCCATCTCTGCTGGCTGGAGTGACCCCTGTCCTTAGCTCAGACTCCACTTTCTTCAGGGAGCCCTGCATCCAGCTCTCTCCCCTCTTGTAGCCTGGACCTGTCACCCTCACTCAGACTGGGAGGTCCCTGAAAGCAAGGTGGAGTCTTAATCATCTTATGTCTCTAATATTGCCACCCTGGGAACTGCACTGTTCTGACGAGGAAAAAATGTCTTGTGCATGACACTGAATTAGCGTTTGTGGCCAACAGCATACCAGGGCCTTATTTTGTTTATGCTTTGTCTCCTTGAATAAAGAGAGAGGGTTTAAATCTGAGCTTCTCTACATTGTAATTGTGTCACCCAGGGTAAGCAGCGGCCTGTCTCAGTGCCTGAGTTGCCATCTGCAAAACTGATAACAGTAGCCACCTTCTGAGGTACTCTGGAAGGGCGTCATGGTGGTAACTGGTGCCCCCTGGTGGTAGTGTTGTGGTGTTGGTTTGTGTCTGTCTGGTTGGAGGAGTCAGGGGAATCCCAGCTATCAAAGTCAGACTTAGTTTCTTCCCAGGCTAGCAGCCTCCAGAGGTGGGTCTCTAGCAAGAGCTGGGAATGGCTTTGGGGCTCCTGGCCTCTGAGCTGTCCAGGTTGGAAGCGACAGGGTCTTTCCCAGTGCTATAAGAGCTGATATTCCCCTCACTGGGTGAGCCTCGGGAGGTGGACTGGCCTCTGCTTGGGAAGCCTGGTTACCTCTAGAGGCTGGAGCTGGAACTGGGCCTGGCCAGAGACCCAGGACTGGGGACAGCTGTAGATCAGGGAGAGGCTAAGGGGTCACTCTGGATGGGATCAGTCATCCTGAGAAGTCTTCCTTGGTTGCTAGCCTGGGAAGAAACTAAGTCTGACTTGGATAGCTGGGATTCCCCTGACTCCTCCAGCATAGACACATGCACAGACTAAAGCCGCCATTCTTGGTCAGTTACAGGGGCCTTTGGCAGAGGTCAGGACTCTCTCAGGCTGGAGTTAGCTGGTCTGGGATCAGTTAGTCTGATGGTCATTTTGGCTGACGTTGGGTAGTCTGGGGGTCATCTGGATGAGTTGGGTCTCTCTGACAAGGGGTAATGAGCTGGGAGCTGCTAGAAGGTCTCCAACTGAGGGTCACCAACTTGGGTCAGTCGGTTGGGGGAGATGGTTAGTTTGGGGGTTTCTCTGGCTGAGGTGAGATGGTCTGGGGTTGCTTTGAGCAGAGACCTCAGTCTGGGCATCAGTTTGAGAAGGTCAGTGGGTCAGCGAGTCCTGGCAGGTCACTGGGTTGACTCAGAAGGGATAGGAGGAAGCCAAGGAGCTGTCGCTGTCAGGCTGGCCCCAGGGCCCTGGTGAGACATCCTGGTCAGCTGCCTTGTTCTAGTTAAGGGTCGGGAAGGACCTGAGCCCCATCTAGGCTCTAGATCCTGGACTTTCCCTGTCTGCAATCCCTGTGATCAGAGATTGGCTGAGACCCCTAGGGTCAGGCCCCACCCAGGCTGAAGTTAGCTATCTACCTCCTCCCTGACCATTCCTCTTTTTGTGCTGTACTGCGGCTCTTTTTTCTGAGGCCCTCCCAGCACAGATGGGGTTAAAACATGCCTCCCACAGGACATAGGGAATAATGCTGACCAAGGCTTTTCAAACAAAGAGGCAAAGAGCCCCTCTAGAGGCTGGCCTCAGCTGTTACTTCATCAAATCTGTTTGGTGCCAGCCTCATGCGCACATCTTACCATTCTACATTTGGGTGGTGTCCAAGAAGAGCAAAGGGAGACCTCAGTGGTGGCGAGCTCCTTAGTCCCTGGCCACTTCATGTAACCCACATAACCCCATAAACAAGCTGCTGCAATAGCAAAACACAGAGCCTCCTAAAAGTGAAGTCACGTGATGAGCTAGTTAAGCTACATGGACCTTATTACCAACTATAGTACCCACATCCATCCCAATCTTCCCACCCTATTCCCTTTCTCATTTAAATTGTTAATACTGGTTCTGAATCATGGAAATTTTCTTGTTCTAGTCACCCAGTGTGCAAACCACACAGGGTGGTGCTTTTACATGTCAGTTCCTGCCAGAAGAGACCTAGATTGATTGACTCGGGCAATGACTGAATCCCCTTGATGTCCATCAAGTAGGAATAGTGGTGCCCGACTTGGAAGGCGAGGCTTCAGCCACTGTCTGCCCTTGGTGCTTAGCATCATGCTGGGCTTGTCACAAGCTTGAGATGACTGGTGGTGACTTATGGGGGACCTAGCCAAGATCCTCAACTGCCTGTATGAGGGGTACTGGGAAAGGATGAAATAAGAAACAGAGACAAATTTAGTAATGCATGGGGGGCGGTTGGGAAGTCAGTGCCTCAGGATGGGTAGAGACAAAGACACTCGGAGCTAGCCACTATTTATTAGCCAGTGTGGGGAAGGGAGTAGGGTGGTTTTCCTGGGAGAGCCTAGAGGCTGTGGTAGAATGGCAAGTTTAACATCATAAAGGGAACAAGCCAAGATCCAGCCCCACATCCCAAATCTTATCGCCGGAGAAGAAGGTGATTTCTGCATTCCAGAACCAGCCCACGAGACAGGCCATGTGGGGAGAGCTTTGGACAGATACTACGTCAGTTTATAATTCGTGGTCCCCAACAGTGACTGTTGGTATCTTTATGGAGATACTATTGGGCTAGCTTATAGCGTTCAGCATTCTGCAGGGTCTGGGCCTACCCTGCCTGGTACGGTGAGGACGGTGGAACACTCAGGTGCAGTCAAGAGATCTCCGTTCAGACCCCGTCTCTGTCACTGGTGTGACCGTTGAGAAAGTCCCTCAGCCTTTTTGGGTCTTACTTTCTTCATCCGTAATTTGGGGAATAATTCTAGTTCTGATCTCATAGGGTTGTTGTGAGGTTACAAAACAATGAAATAATAATAATAATAACTAGTTTTTATCAAGGAGAGTTTTGGTGGGTGATCATGTGATGGTGCGGGTCTGGGAAGTACTGGGACTGTACAAAAGGTCGTTGAGGGGGACAGTGCAGGGAGGGACCTTGGGAGAAGGAGAGGATGGAGGCGGGAGTTTTGCTGGTGGGCAGAAGCAGTGAAGAGGAGGGAAGAAGGTGTGTCTGGGTAGAGGGAGTGGGCAGTGGTGAACATAGGGGGAGCCTTGTGGCCACAACCCTGCCTTAGCCCAGGGTAACCAGCCCTGTCCTCACAGCTGGCTGCACCTTCGAAGAGGCAAGTGACCCAGCGGTGCCCTGCGAGTACAGCCAGGCTCAGTATGATGACTTCCAGTGGGAGCAAGTGCGGATCCACCCTGGCACCCGAGTCCCTGCGGATCTGCCCCACGGTGAGCCTTTTCTCCATCTGCATTCCCGTCATCTCCTTTTAGGGGCAGTCCTACCTGCCTGCATGGTGACCTCAGGCACCTTACTCAGCCTCTCTCGGCCTTGTCTGTAATAACAAACACGACACTAGGTGTGTAGCTCTCTGAACTCTGCCTAATAGTGCCTAACAAGTAGCTTCCCTTGTGGAATGGGTGCAAGTTCAAGTCATCAAAGGCCCTTACAGCTGGGAACCTACTCCCCAGTGATCTCCTTTCAAGCCTGGCTCAGGGTCCACCCCACCCCCAGCAGGTCTTCCTCAGTTCTCCCTGAGAGTGTCTGAGTCCTGCTCCTTCCCAGACTGGTAGATGTAGGCAAACAGGGAAAGTGGGGTTGGATGTTCCTCTGCCTTCATTCTGGGAGTTCCACGACCTCCCCAACTTGTGCTTTGCTTCCCCTACCTCAGGATGGGACATTTTGGGCATTTTGAGCACTGGGCTGGGAGTCAGGAGACTAATGATGTAGCTTCTGGTACAGTACCAGCCTCCTGCTCAGATGGTGACTCCTGTAGTGCCCATTCCACAGGCATGAAGACATGGGTTCAAATCCCGGCTCATCATCTTACCAGCTCTGTGACCTTGGACATGTCACTTAACTTCTCCAAGCCGTCATTATTTTAACTGTGAAGTGGGGAGAACAGTAACCCATTTCACAGGACCACTAGATATGCCCATAAAGGGCAGAGCACGGGGGTCAGTTGCCCTTATTAGGGACACTGAGGGGCCTCACTTACTAGTAGCCCTCTTCACTGGGTGCAGAATCAACTGGAAATTCAGAAGAGGATAAGATGGTTGGAGGCCAAATTAACTTTATTTTTGGTAAGACCTGTGTCGCAGGACACAGATAGTATAAGAACAAAATGGGCTTTCTGAGGGAACTCCAAAAGTGGACAGCTGAAAGACCCGTACCCTTTACCCTGTCGTAGAAGTGGCCCAGGGCTTCTACTACTCAGCTCATGGCGTGTCACAGAGTGGCTGAGAAGGCACCTGTTCTCAAGGGCAGGAGAGGGGCCCAGAGGTCTCAGTGGTGGGCCAGGATTTGAAGCTAATAGGAGAGAGGCCCTTCATGACCTGGCCTGAAAGATGGCCTCTGCAGACTTGTCCCCTATGCTTGCCCTGCCCCTATCCCCTTTCTGTGATTGGGCCAGCCTGCCTCTGACCTGGGGCAGACCTGCCTCTCCAGGCCCTTCGGCTCCCAGAGACCTCTGCAGTAGCTGTGTCACCGTCTGATTCGCCTGAGAAGGCTCTGAGAAGTGCCCCACAGCAGGGACCTTTGGTGGGCCTCTCCGCATTCCCAGGGCCCTGTGCAGCCTGACACATGCTTGGCTTTCAGGCAGAAGAGAGTAGCTTTGGATTCAGTCACATGGCCTCTGCCTCGCTTTCTCTCTCTCAAGCAGAGCCGTGCCCAGGGAGAAAGGGGAGTGAGCAGCTTGGAGGTGGATGTGGGCCCGGGGCTAGATTCCCAAGAGCAGTGAGCGGTGTGCAGGCCCTGTCCTGCTGGTGCTCACAGTCTGGGGACAGTGTGCTGGTGGTGCTGGCACAGAGGATGGAGATTCACATTCTGCAGGGAGAACAGGAGAGAGGAGTAGGGAGAGCCGTGGTGGCAAAGGGAGGGGATGAAGGAGAGGAGAGGGATGCCGAGGAAGAGGGGGGAAGTGGAAGAAGGCAGAGTCAGATCCGAAGGGGAGCTGCTCACAGACACCACAGTACCAGGGCTAGGAGGTGGCCCTTCCTGGGTGGAGATAGGGACCTGGAGTTTTGTTTACTACCCTGCCAGGGCTGATTCTGAGCTGCGTCTGCAGGCTTTTGACTCACAGAGATGAATGAGATTCCTTCCAGCCAGACCCTGGGGAGCCCTCCTGGAGGAGATCCGAGTGTGCTTGTGTTGGCTGGCAGCCAAGCCAGGGAGGAGGTGGTGCTAGGTGGCTGTGGGCCTCCCCCGGGCAGCTGCTGGGGCCTCTCCCCCCAGATGGGAAGCTGCCATCCCCAGCCAGATCCTTTGGAATCCTTGTCATTCCCCTCCCCCTGCCTCCCAAAAGCATACAGTCTGGATCCTCAAGCTTTCTCCGTGCTGGAAACCAAGAGTTTGTGTCCCAGGAAACTCCAAGTGGGGGCTGGAAGGGAGGCAAATCCATTCATTCAGTCTCTGTCCCACATATTCATTCAGCTTGGGTTCTGAGCGCTGCAGGGGCCCAGCAGAGCCTGCAGGCTGGTGGGGAGACAGACGGTACTTTATGAATGATCCAGGGCCTGAGGGAAGCACAGTGTGGGATGTGGAGGGGAGGAGGCTGAGGCCTCCTCAGGAGGCCCGTCATGTGCCAGTCTCTTGACTTCTGAGATGAATTACCTGCCTTCAAGAGTGGCACGGAGCCCTGAAAGCTACGTCTCGGGTAGGGCGCGGGCTTGGACTGTGACCTGCAGATGGTAAGGAGCCACGGTGGGTTTTTAGAAGGCCACGTTTGTGTGTTTTCTGCAGCTTCAGCGTTCTCCCTTAGGCAACATGCTGCAGAGGGGAGGGACCTACCCAGTGGTCAGAGCTGGGACCAGAATGCAGAGTGTAAACCCCTGAGTCCTGGTGTGCCCAAATGCCCACAGTCCTTTGTTTCTGCCCCTGCCCCTCCCCTCAGGTCCTTGTCTTTCTCCTCTTTCTCTAGGTGCCTACTTGATGGTCAACGCTTCACAGCATGCCCCAGGCCAGCGGGCGCATGTCATCTTCCAGAGCCTGAGTGAGAATGACACCCACTGTGTGCAGTTCAGCTACTTCCTATACAGCCGGGATGGGCACAGCACCGGCACCCTGGGTGTCTATGTGCGTGTTAATGGGGGTCCCCTGGGCAGTGCCGTCTGGAATATGACCGGATCCCAGGGCCGTCAGTGGCACCAGGCCGAGCTGGCTGTCAGTACCTTCTGGCCCAATGAATATCAGGTGGGCTGGGTTCAGCCTGTGGTCAGCCTGTGCCTGGGGGTGAGGGCAGAGGGATACCAACTTGAGCTCAGACTAGGTCAGAATTAGTCTGTTTTTAGTATTAGGAGTTGATCTGTGGTCAAGGTTGAAGCTGGTTTGGATTAGTCTAGCTTTAGCACCAGAAGTCATTGTTAATGGAATAGCCTATAGCTGAGGTCAGGGGAGGGTTGGAACACTGCCACCTGCAAACCTGTCTGGTTGGGAAGAGCTTGATGCTTTAAGGCCTTTTCTTTTTTTTTTTTTTTGGTTTTTCTCTGGTACCGGGAATCGAACTCACGACCTTGCGCTTGCCAGGCAGGCGCTTTTGCCGCTGAGCTAAATCCCCAGCCCCTTTAAGGCCTTTTCTTGACCTTGCTCTCTTTGCATGCTGAAAGCTGCCTCGAAGCAGCTGGCTTGGTAGGGTGGGTCAGTGTAAGCTGGGCTGTTGAAGATGGGGCTGGGAACCCCCTGAAAGGGGACTCTTGTGGGCAACCTCCCCAGGCAGGGCTGGAAGGATGTCAGTATGACAAGGGCCCTCCTGCCTTCCCCAGGTGCTGTTTGAGGCCCTCATCTCCCCAGACCACAGGGGCTACATGGGCCTAGATGACATCCTGCTGCTCAGCTACCCCTGTGGTGAGTCCTGGCCCACTGCGGGTGCTGGGGTGAGGGGTGTGGGATGCGCTGCCCCTGCGTGCAGGGGTCTCAGGCTCAGCTCATGCCAGGACTCCCATTTCCCCAGCAAAGGCCCCGCACTTCTCCCGCCTGGGCGACGTGGAGGTCAACGCCGGGCAGAATGCATCGTTCCAGTGCATGGCGGCAGGACGAGCAGCAGAGGCAGAGCGCTTCCTCCTCCAGGTGAGGAGAGCGAAGCCAGGGATTAGGGGCGGGGGTGTGTGTGAGCTTCTTGAGGCCGAAGTCCTTCCTTCAGCCCCAGGCTTTGCTCTGCCCTTGTGGGACCCCCATCACTTCAGGGCAGAGCACAGTTCCAGGAACCCCCATTTTCTGAGTGGTAGGGGAAGGCGAGTGGGGCCAGAACAATGACCCCCCATCCTGGCCCAGGGTCCCTCTTTCCGTGGCGCCCTTGACCTTCTGACCCCTCTTGCCCCCACAGAGGCAGAGCGGGACGCTGGTGCCCGCGGCCACTGTGCGTCACATCAGCCATCGGCGCTTCCTGGCCACTTTCACGCTGGCCGCCGTGGGCCGCGCCGAGCAGGACCTGTACCGCTGCGTGTCCCAGGCGCCGCGCGGCGCCGGTGTTTCCAACTTCGCTGAGCTCATCGTCAAGGGTCAGCGAGCGGGCAGGGGCGGACACGGGCCGGGCCGGCGGAGGGGCGGGTAAAGTCAGGTGGGGCCTGGCCGGAGGAGGTTGGGGCCGGCCCAGGCTGGTCCATTGGAATCAGCAGTCAGTGGGCCTGCGGGGAGGGTGGAGCGAGGGAGCAGGGCCGGGGTTGTGGCCTGGGTGAGGGGCGGGGCTGATGGGGGCGGAGCCAAATGAAAGCTAGGTGAGGTGGGTCTGGCTGTGCCTTCCAGGTGTTGACTGGCGTTGTTGTACCTTCATCCTCGGGAGGCGGGAGTCAGGACTTGGGCGACCTCCAGGGGCAAGCAGGAATGGCGAGGCGGGTCAGCCTCCGTAGCCAGATGTCCATTGAGGCTTGGGGATTTAGTGGAGGCTGGAGTGTGGATCTGAGCGAGGCCCCGGTGGCAACTAGGAGTCTGGGAGGACCGGGAGGAATCTTGGGGATGTGGGTGTGTGGGGGGTATGGAGCTGAGGCCCCAGATCTCAGCGCATCGGTTGGCTCTTTCTCTTTCCTTCTCCTCACAGAGCCCCCCACTCCCATCGCGCCCCCACAGCTGCTGCGTGCGGGCCCCACCTATCTCATCATCCAGCTCAACACCAATTCCATCATCGGCGACGGGCCGATTGTGCGCAAGGAGATCGAGTACCGCATGGCGCGTGGCCCCTGGGCTGAGGTGCACGCCGTCAGCCTGCAGACGTACAAGCTGTGGCACCTGGACCCCGACACCGAGTACGAGATCAGCGTGCTGCTCACCCGCCCTGGGGACGGGGGCACTGGCCGCCCTGGGCCACCACTCCTCAGCCGCACGAAGTGCGCAGGTGAGTGCCGCTGCTGCCTCCTGCTTCGGTATCTGGACAGCCAGTACAGGTTCAGGGCAGTGGAGGAGCGGAAGGGCCCATTCCAAGAGATAGTATGGCCTGGATCTGTGCTTCTAAAAGTTATTTTTACTCAACCTTTGTTGTGGTAAAGATAGTTGTAGCTAATACTTTGTGTTAGTCTCTTGAACATATGTGCCCCCCCCATCTGTTGATTTAAAACATGGGCCAGGTGTGCTATAATGCCAGCACTCTGGGAGGCTGAGGCAAGAAGACTGAAAATTCTAGTGAGAAAATTTAGTGAGACTCTATCTCAAGATAAAAAATTTAAAAAGGCCTGGGGATACAGCTGAATGCAAAGGCCCCAGGTTCAATTCCCAGTATTGCAATCCCCCCAAACCTCCACAAAAACCAGAAAACACACAAATAAACAAAAAACCACACATAAAATCTCCAAAACCTCCCAAAACAAAAAAACCCAAAGAAACAAAAAATAAAATAAAACTTACCACAACACCATGGTAGAGATACTATGGTTATACCCATTTTACAGATGAGGTGACTAAAGTACAGAGACATTAAGTGACTGGCACACGACTAGTAAGTGTCAGAAATGGAACTGGCTGGCTGTCTCCAGAGTCTGTATTCTTAATTCTTCTTTATGTTATCTAGATAAACTACAACAACTAAACACCATAAAGTAAAAGTGTATGGTAAATTCTAGCCAAGAGTTCAATTGCTGAGTCGTATGGTAGTTACAGCCTTTATCAGAATGGCCATATTGTTTTATGTTCTTTTTCTTTCTTTCTTTTTTTTTTTTTTTTTGTCTTTTTTGAGACGGAGTCTCATTATGCAGTTCAGGCTGGCCTTGAACTCACTTTGTAGCCCAGGCTGGTATTGAACTCGCAATGATCCTCCTGCCTCAGCCTCCCGAGTGCTGGGAATACAGACATGCGCCACCATGCCTGGCTTTGTTTTACATTCTTGCTGCAATGTATGTTTAACATGATGTCTTCAAGCTTTATCCATGTTGTAGTATGTCTCACCATTCCATTTCCTTTTTTTGCCAAATAATAATTGCATTGTACAAATTTTATCCACTTATTAGTTGATGGACACTTGATGTGTTTATAGTTTTGGAGTGTTTTGAACAGCATTTCTATGGATATTCATATTCCATATTCATTCATGTATCTGGCCATTTTACGTTCTCATCAGCAGAAAATAAGGGTCCCAATTTCTCTACTTGCTCACCAACATATAATCTGTCTTCTGACTAATATTGGCCCAGGGGGCATGAAATGGTGTCCTATTCTGATTTTGATTTGCATTTCTCTGGTGGCTAACGATATGGAACATTTTTTTATGTACTTTTTGGTCATTCATGTATCTTCTTTGTTGAAATATCTATTGAATTTTATCCTCATTTTAAATTGGGTTGTCCTTTTACTATAGCATGTAAGAGTTTACATGTGTTGGAGTTTACTAGACCCTTACTAGATATCTTTGCAAATATTTTCTCCCTTTATGTGGGTTGTCTTTTCCTGTTCTTGATGGTGCCCTTTGAAGTACAAAGGTTTTCCTTTTTTTTTTTTTTTTTTAAAGTTAGGATCCCACTGTGTGGTACAGGGTGACCTTAAACTCACTATGTAGCCTTGGTAGCCTCAAGCTCCTGATCCTCCTACCTCAACCTCCTAATGCTGGGATTACAAGCATGCATCACCATGCCTTGCGAAGGATTTCTATTTTGATGAAGCTCAATTTATCAATTTTTCTTTGTTGTTTGTACTTTTGATATCATATCTAAGAAACCATTCCCTAATCTGAAGTCATGAGAATTCATTTCCGTGTATTTTTCCTGAGAGTTTTGTAGTTTTAGCTCTCACATTTAGGTCCTTGATGAATTTTGAGTTAATTTTTGTACACGGTGTGAGTTAGGAGTGCACTTTCGTTTATTTGCATGTGGATATCCAGTTATCTCATTACTGTTGAAATACTGTTCTTTTCCCCATTGAATTACATTGCTAGTGGGGTTGCCTTTTTTTTTTTTTTTTTTTTTTTTTAATTCAGCTTACTACTCTGTAGATTCATCCAAGTTATTGCATGTCTGTATCACTATTTCATTCCCGGGGCTGGGGATTTAGCTCAGTGGCACAGCGCCTGCCCGGCAAGTATGAGGTTGTGAGTTTGATTCCCGGTATCGGAAAAAAACCAAAAAAGAAAAATTTCATTCCTTCTTATTGAAGGAGTCTAACTGTTCACTTGTTGGAAGGATATCTGGATTGGTTCCAGTTTTTGGCCATTAGAAGTAAAGACTATGAACATTAGTAGACAGGTTTTTGCATGAATTTTCATGTTTCTGGGATAAGTGGCCCAGAGTGCAATAGATGAGTTATAAGGTAGTTGCAGACTTTATCAGAATAACTGTATCATTTTACATTCTTACCACAAATTGTGGATGTTTAGATTTCTGCATTCTTGCCACTTTTTGGTACGGTCACTATTTTTTATTTTAGCTATTCTGAAAGATATATAAGTAATATCCCATCATGGTCTTAATTTGCATTTCTTTATTGCCTGGTAATGCTAAACATCTTTGCACATAGTCTTTGCCATCTGTGTTTCTTCTTCAATTAATTGTCTGTTGAGGTCTTTGCCTAGTTTCTAACAGTATTTCTTTTTTTTAGGGTTGAGTTTTGAGGGTTTTTATGTGTTCTAGATACCAGCCCTTTAATGCATGTACAATTTATATGTGCTCCAGTGCATATAGTCTTTTCATCTTTTTGACATGCTGTCATAAAGCAGCCACTTCTAATTTTAATAAAGTCATATTCATCAAATTTCCCTATTATGAAGTGTGGTTTTGGTGGCAAGTTTAAGAATTCCTTGCCTAGCCATATTCCCAAAGATTTTCTCCTGGTTTTTTGTTTTTCTTCTCTAAAAGTGTTATACTTTTACATTTAAGTACATAAACTATTTTGGATAAGTTGTGAGGTTAAGATCAAGAATTATTCATTTTTTGCAATCAGTATTTTTATTTATTTATTTTTATTTTTTTAGTACCAGGAATTGAACTCATGACCTCATGCTTGCTAGGCAGGCGCTGTGCCGCTGAGCTACATCCCTGGTCCTTGCAGTCAGTATTTTTAAAAGCCCATTTGTGAACCATTTAAAATCCAGTGGACTTTGGGAGACTCCTGAGTGGTGGGTTGCCCCCTCCCCCGGGGAATTATCTTCTTGCTGAGGGATATAGATCAGGTTACTTAAACTGTCAGAGCTTCCATCCCCTTGTTTTATAAAATGGGCAATGGTAATAATCTTTACAATCTAGGATTAGTTTGAAAGATTCATGCAACAAATATTTACTGAGTACCTATTATATGCCAGGTACTGTTATAGTTATTGGGAATATATGACTGTACCCAAGACGGATATAGGCTGCCAAACATGTGAATTCATCATGAAACTGCTACGAGCTCATATTCTGGCAGGAGGAGACAAGTGATAAATAAGTAAACAAGTGGACTGTGTAGTCTGTCAGATGGTGGTCAGTGCTGTGAGGAAGACTACATCAGAGAGGCCGGAGTAGAATGTGGGTTTTTTGTTTTGTACTGTGAGATAGTGTCTCACTACCGTACGTCACCCAGGCTGACCTCAAACTTTCCAAGTGCTGGAATTAGAGGCGTGCAACGCTATGGTTTGGGGATTGTTGTGTTAAAAAGGTCCAAGGACCTGGGTGTTGTGGTGCACACCTGTAATCCTAGCACTCCCGGAGGCTGAGGCAGAAGGATCAGAAGTTTAAACCCAGCTTGGGCAATGTAAGGACTTAGTGAGTCTAAAAATAAAAAAATAAAAGGGGGTGGGGATGTAGCTTAGTGTGAAGGCCCTAGGTTCAATCCCCAGTTCCAACAAAACAAAACAAAAACAACAAAACAAAGAAACAAACAAAAAGATTGGGAAAACTCAAGGGACTATCCTACTGAAAATTGAGATTTGAGATTTGAGCAGAGCTGTGGAGATGAGGCACTGAGCCAGGCTGGGGAGCAAGGATTGCCGGGGAAAGAGCCTTTCAGGCAGTCTGAGCACAAAGGCCTGGAGGCCGGAGCTCCAGGAGCCCCTGTAACTGGCCTAGTGCCTGAGGGAGGTGGCAGGAGAGAGGCTCAGTTTTGGACTGGGGATGAGAGACCCACAGGCAAGCGAGCTGGAGGATTGGAGAGCAGGAGAACACAGCGCCTACTTGTATTCATCCGGCCCCACTGTGGAGAACAGATTCCAGGAGGACCAGGGTGCCAGAGGGGAGGCCAGATCTGATTGGGAGATAGCGGTGGCTGGGAGCAGAGTGGAAGTGGCGGTGACAACAGGGGTGAAAAATGGTCAGATTCTGGTTTGTTTTGACGGTAGAGCTAACCATATCTGCTGATGGATTGGCTACGGGAAGAGGGAGAGAAAAATAGAGAAAAGTCCAGGAGGGCTCCAAGGTGCTTTGCTTCAGCAGCAGGAAGGATGGAGTTGTCATTTACTGCGAAGTAGCAGACTGTGGCAGGAGCTGGTTTGATGGGGTGTCATAGATCAGGAGCTCTGCGTTGGAGATGTTGACTTTGAGATACCATTAGACATTCCTGTGGAGATATCCATCAGGCAGGTAGATGTATGAGTGTGGAGTTCAGGGAAGGGTTCAGACTGCAGGAATAAATCTGGAAGTTGTCAGTGTAGAGATAGTGTAGATGTTATTTAAAACCAGGAGACCAGATGAGATCTTTCATGCTCGTGGTTCTCAACGGGGGTGATTTTGTGTCCTAGGACGCATTTGGCAGTGTCTGAAGACATGCTGGTTGTCACAACTGGGTGGTGGTGGTGGGTGCCACTGGCATCTCAGGGTAGAGGCTAGGGAGCTGCTAAGCATTGCACAATGCAGAGACAGCTCCTGACAACAAAGAATTATCTAGTCCAAAACATCAGTAATGCTGAAGTTGAAAACCCCTGATTTAGTCCTTAGATTTTTA